CGGAGCGCTACATCGCGAGGGCGTAGATGCAAGCGCCGTCGAAGACTTGCGCTGGAGCGGCTAGAGAAGGGCTGGCGGCTGGGCTGGCTCCGCCACAGTGAGCGCGCAGATCTGGAGTTCCGGGCGCTCCTCGGCGCGAGAAGCACACTGTGCACGGTCGACGTCCGGCTTGGCATGGGACGCAAGTGCTGCGGGCTGCATCGCTCCGTTCCTCATGGCAGCCAGGCGATGCGCAGGCGAATTGCCGACCAGGGTTGTAGGCGCAAGAATGGTTGTTGTGATGGTTAACGCATTGCGGAAGCCGGCCTGATGCATTTTTGACCTTTTGCCGGACGTGGGAAGGACACCCCAGCACCGCGAAGCGACAGGGCAGGGAGCCTTCAGAGCACGGAAAGCACGGGCCAGATGATTTGTCGGTTGTCAGAAAGCGGCAGCCGACGCGGGCGTTCCTACACAAGTTCCACTCACGCGTGGTATTGTGGCATGGGTCGGAAAAGTGCGTTGTGCAGAAAATAAGCGTGACATGTGTTTTTGGCCGTCGGAAGGGTGGAGCTACAGGAGCCTCGCACTGGGGGTGGGCACACCGTGCATCTGCCGAAAGGCACCGCTTGCAAAATCTGTGACGTTCTCGTTTGTTGGTGCCTTCGACTGGGATCTGAGCTTGGAGTCCACTGCAAATTGCATAGTTATGACACTGTGTCGCGGCCTCTCAGTAACAGCTGGAGCCATGACCACGAATACGGAGGTGCAGGGAGCGGCGGCTCGACCCGCGATATGGATGGCAGCCTGCAATGCCGTAAAAGTAAGCAGGAGAATACTGACTGGTGACTGCGGAGGCAGCAGCATCATGTCTTCAGCCGATATGGGGCACGGGGTCGGTGGAGCAGGACGCGGAAGTGCAATTCGGAGACCTTGTTGGAAGCTCCGGGAACAGCCTCGGCGCTGACCTGGGCCCCGTCATGGCTCCATGGATGGGCCAATGGCTGTGCACGGAAACGGAAAGAGCGCTGAAGGAACTTGCCCGAGACGGCTCATGGCACCCTTCGCTCTTGGGAGCGTAAATGTTAAGGGCTGGTTACGTCACTGCTCCCCGTCCTCCTCTCCTCCTCGTCCTCCTCCTCCTCCTCCTCATCATCATCAGCCTCCTCCATGTCCCCCCCGCTCTCTTCAATCTGCCGTTCCTTCTCTTCCTACACCTCGTTCTCGTCCTTCCTCACCTCGAGTCACTCCCCAGTCCTCCTCATCCTTCGCTCCCCTTCCATCCTTGTCATCAGCATCCCTCGCCACCATTACTTACGCCTCCTCATCATCATAATGTATGGTGTGGCTCTCGCGTGGCCATCATTGGGCTGTCTTGGGGCCTCGCATGACCCTCTCGGGGTCAATTTTTGGAGGCATACTGGAAGTCTCTGGGGCGTATTGGGAGGAGTTGTTGGGCCTCTTGGGAGCCTCCGGGGAGCCTTTTGGGGGGCGCTTGGGTGGCCTCGGGGGGTTTCTTGCGGCCTCGTGGGGCCCTCTTGGGGTCCGCTGGGCTCGCTTAGGCAATCTTGAGGCCATGTCGGGGCCCTCCTGGGGCCGTCTTGGGCGACTCCTGCGCCGTCCTGGGGCGCTCTTGGACCGTCTTGGGACGCCTTTGGGGGCGTCTTGGGCCGTCTTGGGCCCGGCTTAAGGGTCTCTTGGGCCGTCCTGGGGCTCTCTTGGGGGCCTCTTGGGCCGTCTTGGAGCGTCGGAAAGCAAAAAAAGCAAGAACGCGAAAAACATCGAAAGAACCAATGACAAATCAGCGTTTGTGGCCTCTTGGGGTTCTCTTGGGAGGCCTCTTGGAGGCCGCTTGGGGCGTGTTGGTGGCCTGTGGGCTCGTCTGGAGGCCATGCTGGCGCGTGTTGGAGGCTCGCTGGCCTTTTAGGCAGTCGTCAGGCCATGTCGGGGCCCTCCTGGGGCTGTCTTGAGCGGTTCCTAGGTTGTCTTGGGGCTCACTTGGGCAATCTTGGGACGCCTTTGGGGGCCTCTTGGGCTGACTTGGGGCCGGCTCAGGGGCCTCTTGGGCCGTCCTGGGGCTGTCTTGGGTGCCTCTTGGGCCGACTAGCAGCGTCGGAAAACAGAAAAAGCGAGAAGGCAAAACAAATATAAAAAACAATGAAAAATCAACGTTTGTGGCCTCTTGGGGCTCCTTGGGAGGCCTCTTGGAGGCCGCTTGGGGCGTGTTGGTGGCTTCTGGCCTCGTTTGGAGGCCATGCTGGCGCGTGTTGGAGGTCCGCTGGGCTCGCTTAGGCAGTCTTCAGGCCATGGCGGGGCCCTCCTGGAGCTGTCTTGGGCGGCTCCTGGGCCGTCCTGGGGGCCTTTTGGGCCGTCTCGGGACGCCTTTGGGGGCTTCTTGGGCCGTCTTGGGGCCGGCTTAGGGGCCTCTTGGGCCGTCCTGGGGCTCTCTTGGGGGCCTCTTGGGCCGTCTTGGAGCGTCGGAAAGCAGGAAAAGCGAGAAGACAAAAAACATTGAAAAAAACAATGAAAAAAACAACGTTTTTTGCCTCTTGGGGCTCTCTTGGGAGGCGTCTTGGAGGCCGCTTGGGGCGTGTTGGTGGCCGCTGGGCTCGTCTGGAAGCCATGCTGGCGCGTGTTGGAGCGCTCGCGGGCTGTCTTGGCTGGGCTGGAGCCCGCCCTGGCGGTCTCTGGAGCCGAACGGGAACCCTTCCGAGCGGCCCCGGGGGCCCTGCACCCCCATGCGCCCCCGAGGTCCTTGGGCTCGGCCGGGGGACATCGTCCCCCAGGATATATATATATATATATATATATATATATATATATATATATATATATATATATATATATATTCTCTGGGCCCAAGAGGCGGCCATGCCAACGTCAAATATAGAAAACACAATACAATATGCGAGGCGCGCGGGCGCGCTGGTGACCCGCGCGGTGCCGGGTCACCCGCACGCGCGCGCGATGCCTCCTGTATTGGTTTTATACAATCGGAGGCCATGTTAAGTTGAAAACTCAATGATCAAAACCCAATGTAAATATTCATTCTCTGGGCCCAAGAGGCGGCCATGCCCACGTCAAAAATAGAAAACACAATACAATGGGCGAGGCGAGCGCGGGCGCGCTGGTGACCCGCGCGGGGCCGGGTCACCCGCGCGCGCGCGCGATGCATCCTGTATTGGTTTTAGACAATCGGAGGCCATGTTAAGTTGAAAACTCAATGATCAAACCCCAATGTAAATATTCACCCTCGAGGCCCAAGAGGCGGCCATGTAAACCTTGGCAGGTCTTAGCAGCATTTCCATTCCCCTCCGTTTGGGCAACTGGAAGAAATGGGCCGCCACCAATGGATAGACGCCCCCCGCCAATCAAGCCGCGCCGAGGGTGCGACGGCGCCCGGGGGATGGGCAGATAGACGGACAGAAGATGCGCAGACGTATCGGTGCGACGGCGCCTGGGGGGATAGATGTAGATACATGGATACGCCGCGCCAGCAAAGCAAAGCCGACGGTGCGGCGGCGAACGCTTTTTGAATATTGACCAGAACGGAGATCAATACAGGGGGAACCCCCTTATCTTTTATTCCTTCCCCCCGAGGGGGGGGGGGGGGGAGGGGGGAGGGATCACACCCGGATACGCGGGGGGTGGGGGGGGCACCCGGGCGGCTCCCTTTGGGAGAGGGGAGCGGCCGCGAGGCGGAGGGGAGCGGCCGCGACCCGGGGGGAAGCCAATCTGCTCCCCCCGGGACACGGGGGGGAAGCCAATCTGAGCAACGTCGTAGCTTATTCGAAAGGAAGCCCCTTCGCCTTAGCTGCCCCGATACGCAACACGCAACACGTATCGTATTGATACGGAGCTCAACACGTGGGCTGAAAACGTAGGTACGACGCGATACGTTCGCCAAAATGTAAGCCAATACGTGGAGCCAACACGCAACGTATTGACACGGACGTCTTGAACACGGGACGTTTTGCGTATCGGAACCGGCGTATCGAGGCAGCCAAGCCCTTCCCATGTACCCCTTCCCCCCGAAGGGGGAGAGGGGAAGAGGGGGTCACACCCGGATACGCGGGGAGGGGGGGGGGGGGGGCCCCCGTGCGGCTCCCTTCGGGGGAGGGGAGCGGCCGCGACGCGGACGGGAGCGGCCGCGACCCGGGGGGGAAGCCAATCTGCGCGCCCCCAGACACGGGGGGGAAGCCAATCTGAGCAACGTCGTAGCTTACTCGAAGGGAAGCCCTCTTCCCTTTTATCCCTTCCCCCGAGGGAGGGGGGGGAGGGGGTCACACCTGGATGCGCGGGGGGCGGGAGGGGGGGACGGAGGGGCACCCGGGCGGCTCCCCTCGGGGGAGGGGAGCGGCCGCGACGCGGAGGGGAGCGGCCGCGACACGGAGGGGGAAGTCAATCTGAGCAACGTCGTAGCTTACTCGAAGGGAAGCCCCCTTCCCCCCTTTTATCCCTTCCCCCCGAGGGGATGGGAGGGGGGGGGTCCCACCCGGATAATTACCCAGGGGGGGGGGGGACCCGGGCGGCTACCTTCGGGGGAGGGGAGCGGCCGCGACGCGGAGGGGAAGCCAATCTGAGCAAAGTCGGTGTTCACTCGAAGAGGGGGGGGTCCTGGAAGGGGGTCCCAAGGGGGGGTCCCGGGTCAGAATACCACCCTCCCGGGGCCCATGGCCCGCCCTCTCCCTCCCATTTCTGTCGAGGGCAGAGGCCTCCAGGGTCGGCGGCACTGGCCGTAAGGCCTTAGCAAGATCAATTTGGAATCAGAATATGTCGCCGACAGGTCAAAGACAGGCGATAGGCCCACGATAGCGAACCCGCAAGGTCCTGGGCTGGGTGTGCTGGCGGGCCCCTGTCGGCGATGAAACGGCGATTGGGCATAGATGACCCCCTGAGTCTGTTCCCCCTACCGTTGCCCCTGACCTCTGGGTGCCCACGTCGTGAAAAAGTCACGACGTCGGAAGTCTCTGGGCTGGGTCGGTGCAACTAGGCGGATGATTGGCGCCGCCCCCGAGGGCCTGGGCCGGTCGTCCTTGATGGTGGAGTTGCCGAATCTGTGAGGCTGGAAAGTCGCCACCCAGATCTCCAGCGATGTGAGTTGTTCAATCCCAGCGTTTTTTCTCGAGCTCGGCTTCTGAGGCCCCCCTATTGGGCCCCCGGGCCATCGAACATGACTCCCGGACACCAAAAAAACTACCCCTGGGAAGTGGGACGAGACCCTCGGGGCCGCGCAGTTAAACAACACATCGTCTGGGCACGCAACCCAGGGAGGGAGGAGGGAGCGGGAGGGCAAGAGGAGGGAGGGGGTAGAGCGAGGAGGAACGGAGCGGGGAGGGAGGGGGGGAGGGAGGGAGGGGAGGGGGGGGGGGAGGGACGGAAGAAGAGAGGGAGAGAACAGGAACAAATATATGGTAAAAGCGCGCGCGCCCGGGGCTGCTCTCCAGTCTCTGGGAACCTCTGCTGCAGGGTGCTGTTGTGGGAGACCCCGAACTGCGCCAGGAAGCTCCGTGGTCGAGCTGGGCACCCCAAGAGCAAGAGGGGTCCAGGAACCAAGAGGGCCAAGGATCAGAGAAAACCTTGAACAGGTCTTAAAACCGAAGGCAGGGCAAGGAACACATTGAAGACGAATTGGGAATCTCCGAGACCCGGTGAGTCTGGAGGATGAGTCTAGCGCCGCGGCCGTCCCAGAGCATTCCAGAACGCGCTCGATGCATTCTGATCCTAGGCACGCCAGATCTCTGGATCCTCCACTCGGGCACACGTCCACATGAATCGGGGAAAGTACCCCCCCCGAAGCATGAAGCCAATAGCGCCCGATCTGGCGACGGGTCGCGCAGATTCTGTACGAAAGCAGCGCCCGTCGCCAATCCACGCGACTTAGATCCCCGCTTGCGCTTCCTCGGTCCAGCCCCGCTACTCGATCCTCCCCCGGGTCCCCGCTCAGCCCACCGACCGGTCACGCCGATCGACGCCACACCTCGCGCGGTGGACCTGAGCCTCCGACGTCGTGACCGTGACCTGTTCGATGCCAGCGGCTTCTCCGTCGCGGTAGTGTTCGGAACGCCAAGAAAGGAACGAAAGGGCCTCTCTTGCGAGGCGGGAATTGATCCATATCCGCCGCCTCGGAATCGACGTCCTGGTGCCCCAGCGGGCGGTGGATGTGGATATATTTCGGCCCCCGGGAGCCCGAATATGTCCATATCCACCGCCTGCCGAGGCTCCGAAAACTGACCCTCCAGGCGGTGGTCATGTATAAATTCCCGCCTCGGATCTCTGGCCTCGGAGGGCTGCGGCCACGGCCAGATTCCACGACCCAGATGTACGGTCAGGAACGTTTGCTCAGCGTGTCGCGCCGGCGGCGGCCCTGGCGACACGCTATGCCTTGCGAGGTGATTGCGTGTCGCTCCGCTCCTTGAGGGGGGAGGCTGGGAAGATCTCGGGACGTGCAGATAACTGGCGGGCGCCGAGACGTGGAGGGCCAGAAGCGGCGGAGCGACACGCTAAGCCAAAGTCACGACCGTAGGGAGCGGCCCGAAAACAGGAGCCCCTCGTGAACCCAAAATGGCCCTCGTTTCAGCGTCTCGACTGCAGATCTCGGCCTCTGGAGGCCCCCTCTGGGCCATGGGGCCGTCAAGAGGCAAGAGCATGAAAGGCAGTGCACAGGGAGGGGTCCAAAGCTCCAGGGGCCACGTGCTGGCGAATGTCATGGCATCGGAGCTCAGAGGTCAGACACCACCCCCATGCTAATTTACCAAGGCAGGGCACCATGACAATTAGCGGGGAACCCAGACATCAGACGTCGTGCTTTTTGTCGCAACGTGGCTCCACTGAGGGCTGGACGCCTTCCCCAGGACCTGCTCTTCATCCTGAGCGCCGTTCCTTGACAGTCCTGGAACCCGGTAGGGGGGGGGCCCGAAAACCGAAAATCAACGTTTATCGTCCGTGGTTTTTGGTTTCGACGCGAGGCGATTTCCTGCGGGGGCAATCTCCGACCACTGCTGGGAACCCCGTGTCGAAACGCTGCTCCGGAAGATCCAGCAAAGTCAGCTGAAGATTGACCGACACCGTTGCTCACTGGCCACCAGGCGGTCTGCGCGGCTGCTCTTGGGCCCCCGCTGCCCACCACGAGGTGCCCAGCCGACCGCGGAGGAAGCCCTTCACCGCGCGGAAGATGCTGGTCCCGTTGAAGAACCCATGCTTCACCAGCTCGAGGAAGTGCCCAGACCCTATCGGCGCCCAGTCGGTTCGCACGGTAATGTTGAACTCTCCTCGCACCTGCAGGTCGTTTTTGAGCTCCTCGGCTGTCTGGACGGCCTTGCCAGAGCGGCGGCCGAAGCGACACCTGAGGCTGGGACATCCACTTTTTCATCCGCGGGACGCGAGCCTTTCAATTGCGCTCTGCCTTGAAGATGGAAAAGCCGAACTTAGTTGAGAGCGGCGCGCGGGCAATGCAAACCCAACTGACCCGCAAACCTGCAGAAAAGGCATCCTGGACGGCCACACACATGTTTTACTCCAGCGCGCCGATGGGATGCAATCGGCGGATGCGGGCCTCGGTCAGGATAAGTTGGCAACCTTGTGTGGGCCACACGCACCATTTACTTCGTAGGCGCCACTGCCTCAGGGGCCCGAAGGACCCCCACCCTTTTGCGAAATGAGCCACTGCAGTATGGGCGCTACTCAATGTTGGACCAGCAGCACAGTACAACACAGACCGATGAGCAAGGACCCCCCCTAAGCGAAATGGCAGCGTGTGAACACGCACACACACACATACTTCTCCAGAATCACAGCGAGTACCAAGGCGGGGCGCGCTTAGCTCAAGTGCCACCTGACGTTGCAGATGGGGGTCTGGACAGAACCAAACGCATGCAGGTAAACGCGAGACCACGGGTGCACATGGAAGACGCCGAATACGGCATGCAAGTGCCGAAGCGCACGGAGCACAATAGAGCGTTGCTCCATTTTTCGCCATAGCGGCCGTTACCACCCCTGGCGCCCCCCCTCCTGGTAACGTCACGATTTGTGCCGGCGCCGTCTGGGAACGCCTACGAATCTGCCGACGTGCCGCTGGGCACGGACTGGGCGTGTCCTCGGGTCCTTTGCGTAATCCTCAGAGCCTCGGTCCTCAGTCCGCGGAGTCTTCAAGAGGCCCGGACCCCAAAATGCCAAATATCCCGGCGCTTGTCTCGTGCCCTCTGGGCTCCCCCGCGGCTTCCCGCATGACTTTTCTCGGCACAAGAAGTCCCCAGGACGGGCCGAGAGGGCCCCGGAAGGCCCCGAAGACGGTCCAAGAGAGCCCCGAGTTGCCGAACGATCGCTCCAAGACGCTCAAGATGGCACCCAGACGGCCCAAGAAGCCTCCAAGACGCCCCAAACGCCTCCAAGAAGCCTCCCAAGAGGCCAAAATCATTTATTTGTCCACAGGGTTTTGAAGGGTTTGGGCGTTCTCACCTTCTCAGCTTCCCGACGCTCCCAGACGGCGGGCCCCCAAGATCACCACAAGACGGCCCAAGAGACCTCCAAGAGGACCCCACAACGGCCCAAGAAGGCCCGAAGACGGCCCAAGAGGCGCCCAAGACTGCCCCGAAGACGTTTCCAAGAGGGGACCCAGATGGGGGATCCGAACGGACACTCCGAGCCCTCGGCCCCGAGGGGGCCCCAGGAGGCCCCAAGAGGCCCCCAAGAAACCCCCAAGAAACCCCCAAGAGGCACCAAGAGGCCCCGAAGAGGCCGAAAGAGGGCCCCCAGAGGCTCACAAGAGGCCCCAAAACTGCCCCATTGTGAGGCCCCCGAGAGCGCTCCGAAGAGACCCGAAGAAACATCCCTGAGGAGAAGTCTGAACCGCAAGCAAGGCACGATGGCGGATGGGGCGAAAGCCATAGAATAGCCAAAGAACCTCGGAGAGCAGGTACGTATGCGGATACGTTACAGCAGAGCGTGCACCATGCTATGGATACGCCAAGGCCTGCGATTGATAGCTACGGATAGCTAACCGCAGCGCAGGGGATTGCTGGGAATAGAAAACGGTTCTCATCGATCCCATCATTTCCCTCCTCCACCTCCTCCTCCTCCTCCCTCCTCCTCCTTCTCCTCCTCGTCGTCCCGTCGTCAACGTCCTCCACATTGCGTGGCAAGGTGCTTTACACAAGGACAGGAAAGATGAAGAAGGGAGCCGATACGACCTCTCTGATTACATTCCTGTTATCGAATCGTGCTCTGGAAGGGGTCTGGGCGCCCCTGACCAGAAAGAGGAACTGGCATCGTCGATGTCATCCTCACCTTCCTCTCCCTCACACTCCTCCTCCTCTTGTCGTCCAACTCGTCCTTACTGCGTTGCAAAATATTTGACTGCAAACGTCGTGCGCACCACATCGCTGGGGCACACTGGGGGCGTGCGGAATGGCGTAATCCCATGAGATACACGTGGGCAACTTCCTGCTCAATCTTACCAACAGCGCGCTGAAACCTTTTTTCTTTAGTTTTCAGCTGGATGTGTTCAGCAATCCAGAAGGCTGGAAACACACGCGGTTGAAATCACATGCGGAACATGCGGAGGCCAGTTGCTGGATTAACGAGCGGATGGCTGAGGCACTTAGCCACACGACGGCCGAACCCTGGAAAGGCATGCGGCCACATGTTCATCCAGCTCTCGCCCAGGCTCGTCACGTCATGTCTATACAGGTTTCTGGTAAGAAGCACTCAAGACAAATGTCCCGTCTTGTTGGGCACTATATTCCCAACTTGGCAGGAACACGACGACGACGGCGACGACCACCACGACGACGGAGGAGTAGGAAGAGGAGGAGGAGAAGGAGAAGGGAGGCGCTCTGCCGTAGCATGTTCCTATAGGTTTGCGCGCGCTCTGCCGCAGCAGGTCCCTGTAGACATCTACTATCCGATCTCTATGGTTATTCTTAGGCAGTCCCAGACGGCGCCGGCGCGAAACGTGACATTACTGGGCCCCTCCTCCCCCCCTCCCCCACTCTACGGGTAACGCCCGTGATCGCCAGGGAATAAAAAACGCTCCCCAACTGGAACGCAGGAGGAACAAACATGCACAAAACTGTCCTTCGCAGCCCACTTCAGGGTGCGACGTGAAGACAGCCACTGCAGCATAAACGCAGGAGGCCGATGTAGAGCAGATGATTGCGGCCAGCAGCCTGGCTGTACAGGGCGAGGCGCCTCGTGCGAATGAGGGCATGAGAAATGCATACAAAACCAGGAAGGGAAAACCAGCGCGGAAACTTTCCTCGCAGCCCATTTGAAGGCACGCTGTGGCACCAGTGCAGCAGCACACGCAGGGGGGCGAGGGAAGCGATAATTGCGGCCAGCCCAGCTGAAAGGGCGACGCGGCCCGTGCGAAAACAGCACGGGAGCTGGATGAGGTCCGCCGCCGACGATGCAGAGGCGGCAGCCTGGCGCAGCCTGGCGCAGCCTGGCGCAGCCTGGCGCAGCCTGACAGCGGGCGCACGGCTAAAGCCAGCCGATGCCAGAAGGACGCGCGTGGCCGGCGGGACAACTGCGCCTCGCCTGGGTACGCCGTGCAGCGCGGCTCGGCCGCGAGCTCGCGCCGGACCCACTCACGGGAGCCCCACGGCGGGGTGGGGCTGGGCAGGGCGTCTGCGCCCTAGCCAAGCCTCGGAGGGCGCCAGTCTCCGGGAGAGCTGCAAGCGACGGGTGCGACCGGGCGCCCGAAGGCGAGACCAGCCCCAGAGACCCGCCGCCGAGTGGCCACGCGCAGGCACCCTGACCGCAAGGGGGACCAGTTCTCTGGCCGGGTGCCGAGCAAAGCAGAACACAATCGGCAGACGGCTGGCTGGCGCGTGACCAATCCGGGCGCCTGAGGCACCCCCAGAGCCAGGAGGATCGCGCCGAGAGACGGCGCGCCGCGCATTCTTGGAGGAGGGCGGGCTGCACCCCGAGGCGGCAGAGGAGAGCCAGCGCGAGTGAAGTTCTCCAGGGAGGGGCCTCCAGCAAGCGGGCGCAGAGTGAGCAACGTGAAGACTTGGCGTGGCAAAGAAAACGCCAGCGCTGGTCCCGGCACCTGCGCCGTGCAGACGGGGCGCAGGCGTGCACCGCACCAGGGGAGGGTACGCCAGCCACCCCGAAATAAAGGCACAGGCCAGGGCTGGGCGCCTTCACAGCGGGCGTCCCTCAGGTCGGGTCAAGCGATCGAGCGCCGCTGGCGAAAGCCAGCCTTGCCAGCAGAAAAGCACGTGCCCCAGACGTGCGACGTCCTGATTTTTTCATCAGGCGGTTCCCCAAGTCGGGTCCCAACCCTCCAGGAACAGTTTTTCATCCTGAGTCGTTTTTGCCACTGTCCCGAGGCCCTGCGATAGCCCCCAGACGCCGAAAACGGCGAATAATCTCCCCTCGTGTTTTTTTCTCAACGCAAGCATGACTGGGCGGCCATGCCACCAGAAAGGCAGGTGCCACGACTGGAGGGCCAAGAGCGCGGCAGGCAGGTCCAAGGTCACCCCTCGGCGCGTGCGACAATGGATTTCTTGTTGCCCCTCGCTTCTGGGCCGTCTGCGACGGTCTTCGGACGGTTTTCAATTGTCTTTGGCGGTCTTTGACTGTCTTTGGCGATCTTCGGCCGTCTTCTGACGGTCTTTGGCGGCCGTCGGCGCGAAAGCTGGATGGTCGCGTTCAACTCAGGGTCCATGCTCGGACATCTAAGCTGGGCGCCCACTAGAGCAGAGGTGACCCGAGGCGTGCGAGGCGGCGCCGAGGAACTGCTGGGCCAGGGCCCCAGAAGGGCGGGTGGCCAGGTGCGGCGACGGACGTGGATCCCAGGGAGCGAATTCGAGAAACCGGTCACAAACACAATCCAGACATGCCCGCGTTGTGAAAAAATCTGGACGGGTGGTGTGTCGCCGTGTTCGGCCTCTGGGGCTCTCACCGGGCCCTGGTGCCGTCAAAAAAGACGCAGGAACAGAAACCTGCCCCAGGGAAAAATTCGGGATTTCCCAAGAGCCCGTAGTGAATAAATCAGGACATCGCATGTCTTGAAGGCAGATTCGAGAAAGCGGCCGACAGCCCACGACCTGTCCAGAGGTAGCCACCCCTAGTGCGGTGGCCACTCACAACTAGCGAGGACAAGCCGCGCATAGATCGGGCTTGGCCTTGCGGACCCCAGACGGATTAGAGCGGGACTTGCTAGCGCCACTGGCTCTCGAACCTGCGCTCGAGAAGTGAAGGGGGCGCAGATACTCGGGCAACGTAGTTGGGCGCGCGCGCCTCAGGGCCCAGGGCGCGTCGCCCCAATGGCCAGGCGACCTGGCGTAGCAGTCCAGCAAGTGGCCCACGACGCTTTCGCGACCCAGGGTGCCCACCCCG